CATTTTGGGGCGGCGCTCTAGGGTTCTTGAAAGAGATAAGAGAGATGGACGGGGGGTTGTGTTTGGACTTAGGCTGTCTCTGAGGTTTTCAGACAGATTTAACTAAAATGGGGCAAGTGTTTTGAGCCCTTGGATACAAAGAAATGAAGCGCGCCGATTGATTTTAAAAGTTCAAACTCAAAACGACGTAGTCTCACGCCCATACTATGTCGTTTCAAAGGTCTTGGGGCTGAAGTATTGGACCAGTTTGGAGCGTGATTGAGCCGGATCTTTGAGCGGGTTTCAGGGTAAAAAGCTTTTGGGCCTGTGAGAAACTTAATTAAATGGCCCAAACCAAGTTTCTTTAATTCCTTTTATTTTCTCTTTCAATTTCTAATTTCCTTTTTCTTTTTCAATTTCAAAATCCTTTCTTTTCAAATTAAAATTAAAACCTAAATTAATTCTTAAACCAAATTATCCTACCAAATTAGACTATTTACTTAATATAGTATTTATAATAATTAATTAAATCCTAAATTTAAAGAAAAAACTATAAAATTCAAAATTAAAGAGTTAAAATGCAAAATGAACTATTTTTTTGTGATTTTTTCATATTTCATAAAACAACTAATTTACTAATTAATCGAAAAATGTAAAATTAAATCCTAAATGCAAATGCAATGTATTTTTGTGTTTTTTATGAATTAAATAAAATTAAAAATGCACACAATAATGCAAATAATCAAAAAAAATTCTACAATAATTCCTAAAGTAACAAATACTTAAAAGAAAAAAAATCTAATTTTTGGAATTCTGTAGGAGTAATTCATGTGGGGCAAGACACACAATCCTTATTTTATCGCTTTCAAAAAAAAAAAGAAAAATAGTTTAGATCTTAGTTACAAATAACTCAAGATATTTTCCTAGTGAAAACTGGGGCAGAAAAATTTCGTTCGTTTGTTTGTTTTGGTGTCTGAGCAGGTTTGACCTCGAGGCACAGGGTTCGAGACGATCAATAGAATGAGTCTAAACCAAAATAAAGAGAAAAAGGAAAAAGAGCAAAAAGAAATGAACTCAAAGTGCTGAAGTGGAGAAAGATGCGGATTGCTCAAGATATGATTGAAGTCACAGGCTTCGCTTGTCCCGCCCTGATCCAAAGCTGAAGAATGAACCAACGGTTGCACCTAACGAGCATCAAGATTCAGATCAGAGTCTGCAGGAAGAACTAACCAAGACTCAAGATCAATCCTTAGAAGATTTATAGATAGGAATCTTGTAACTCGTAGTTGATAGGCTTAGCTAGTTTAGCTTTTTACTTTCCATTTTGGTGTAATAAGGAGTTCAGCAAGCAGTAACAGCAGCAGCAATAGTGAAATCACAGCTTCCCGGTAGTCCCAGCTACCAAAACCTCCAGAACTACACTAACCTGATTCCTTTATAGCAAAGGATATGTAGGCAACCTTTGAAGCAAGGTTCGGTCAGGCCCTTTTAAAAAATGCTTCTCATGGAGTTTCAAACGGGCAAAAATCCCTCATAATTGCTCATTTTATCTTTGCCCGAAAACCCTTCGTGTCTCCGAGCAAAGAGGGGCAGCTGTGAGCACGTGATTTTTCTATATCTAAAAATCTCAACTAGGGATTAGAGCCCTATGTTGGCGAAAGGCGACCAGGGGATGGAGACCCTATGTCTAAAAATAATGCCAACTAGGGATGGGAGCCCTATGTTGGAAAAAGGCGACTAGGGAATGGAGGCCGTATGTCTAAAATCTCAACTAGGAATTGGAGCTCTATGTTGGCAAAAGGCGACTAGGGAATGGAGGCCCTATGTCTGAAATCTCAACTAGGGATTGGAGCCCTATGTTGGCAAAAGGCGACTAGGGGATGGAGACCCTATGTCTAAAAATCTCAACTAGGGATTGGAGCCCTATGTTGGCAAAAGGCGACTAGGGAATGGAGGCCCTATGTCTAAAATCTCAACTAGGGATTGGAGCCCTATGTTGGCAAAAGGCGACTAGGGAATGGAGGCCCTATGTCTAAAATCTCAACTAGGGATTGGAGCTCTATGTTGGCATTATTTTTAAAGGCGACTAGGGAATGGAGGCCGTATGTCTAAAAATCTCAACTAGGGATTGTAGCCCTATGTTGGCAAGAGGCGACTAGGGAATGGAGGCCCTATGTCTAAAATCTCAACTAGGGATTGGAGCCCCATGTTGGCAAAAGGCGACTAGGGGATGGAGACCCTATGTCTAAAAATCTCAACTAGGGATTGGAACCCTATGTTGGCAAGAGGCGACTAGGGAATGGAGACCCTATGTCTAAAATCTCAACTAGGGATTGGAGCCCTATGTTGGAAAAGTGTAAAAGATTGAGATTGGGGATCCTATACTACCATTTTTTTTATATTTTTTTTTGAATTTTCTTCTTATATCCTTTTTCATCTTGTTTTGTTTTCTCTATTTTTTACTTATTTCATGGATTGAGTAAATGCGGAAAAGTTTGGAGTGGACTTCTCTTTTTATGGATTGTTGTTGCAAAGCTGTTTCTAGCTCTTGCGCATTTCATTTTCCTTTTTGGTTGCATCTGCTTCTTGCACGGTTGCTTTGGATTGCACCTGTTTCAAATTTTCAAACAAAGAACAATTGTTAGTTTGAAACGGTGGTTGGTTTTGTAGCCTTGTTTTTTTTTGATCACTTGATCTCGGCCCAACTCTTTTGGTGAGAACCTCTGCTGCTTGCTGGCTTTTCTGAAGATTAATCTCTCTCCTAAAACCGAGGAACTCAACTTTTCCAAAATTTCACATGACGGTTCACCCATGTGGGGCTTTGGCCCTTTTACCTTATTCTGCCTCTAGGGGCTTTTGACTTTGGATTTTCTTTTCATTTTCAATAATTTTAACTTTAGAGCATTGGCCATCATGGCCAGTCGGGATCGACTTGATGCACCCGCTGAGGCTGGGTACTTTTCTTTGGACTTAGATTTTTATTAAGCAGACCCTGTAAAACCAATCTTTCCACCTTTTCTTTTCGGAACAGAGTTAGGCCGAAAGGGATTCAAAGAAAAGTAAACAAAGGACAAGAAAGTGAATTTAAGGAGAAGTGTCCCTTTCGGGGAGGAAAGGACTTATCTGGAGTGCATGCAGACTTCAATAGACATGACATGCTTCTTGGACTGGATACCCGATCTGCGCAACCATCCAACTTCTCATAAACCCATTGCGACCCGTGTTTTAAAAACCGAGAAACCTTGCCAGGAATCTTTCAGTGCCAATGGTGGTGAGGGGTTTCTTCTTTTCGTTTAGCGGCACCCTTTGCGGGTTTTCGCCAATCGACCTCTCTCATTTCTCTTCTCACCGTCGCCTTATAGTGCTCTTTACGAGTTTTCACTAAAGACTCTCTCATTTTCAATTTCTCTGCTCACCGTCGACTTATGGTGCCCGTGGGTTTTCACTAGTAAGACTCTCTCATTTTATTTCTCTCATCTTGATTGCATCGGATCCAAACAACTACGTTCTCCGATTTCGAACACCTTTCACCGATTGATCGGAAGGACTTGAACAAGGATTGGGTAAAAAGAATTTGGATCAAATTACAACTTTGGAACCGTTCAGGCGGGATCATCGCTGAGCCATTATAATATCTGCCCTAGTTTTAGTTTTTGGGGGAAATTGAATTTTTGTTTTGGTGTGACTGAACCCCAGAGAGAGGCTGCCTACGTATCCTTTCGTAATCAAGTCGAACGTAGTTCAAGAAAACATTTTGTTTTCGTTGTTTTGTTGTTTTTATTTTTCTTTTCTTTTTCTCTTGTTTTGATGCTTTTTTTACAAACGTCTTCAAGTTCCAAAGAGGGTAATGAAAGAAAGGTAACCGACTCAAAGGGTTTGCAAAGGATTGGAATGTTTGGGGTAGCGAGAATGAAAGCCTTCGTCATCCCAATTGGATAATGTTGTTGCTGCAGAAAGACTAGACAGAGTACCTTTTGACTGCGTCTGCATTTACAGCTGTTTCGGGGTCATTTCCTTCGATGTCTCCCAGGTATAACGCCCCTTTTGGCAACAATTTTCTGATAATGTATAGTCCTTTCCAGTTAGGAGAAAACTTTCCTTTTGCTTCCTGATGATGGGGAAGAATACGCCTTAAAACGAGCTGCCCCACTTCAAAGTTTCTAGGCCGCACTTTCTTGTTGTAGGCACGGGCCATTCTTTGTTGATACAACTGCCCGCGGCAGACTGCGGCCATTCGCTTTTCATCGATCAGGGTTAACTGTTCCAGACGGGTTTTGACCCACTCACTGTCTTCAATTTCAGCTTCCACAATGATCCGAAGAGAAGGGATTTCAACTTTTGCGGGTATTACGGCTTCAGTGCCATAAACTAAAAGATACGGGGTTGCTCCGGCTGACGTGCGCATCGTAGTGCGGTATCCCAACAATGCAAATGGCAACTTTTCATGCCATTGCTTGGAACTTTGGATCATCTTTCTCAGAATCTTCTTGATGTTTTTGTTTGCTCCTTCGACAGCGCCATTGGCTTTGGGCCGATAAGGAGTAGAGTTCCGATGCGTTATCTTGAATTGTTCGCATATCTCTCTTATCAAATGACTATTCAAGTTTGCAGCATTATCCGTAATGATAGTCGCAGGGATACCAATACGGCAGATGAGATTGGAATGCACGAAGTCTACCACAGCTTTCTTGGTGACAGATTTTAGAGTAATTGCTTCAACCCACTTTGTGAAGTAGGCGATAGCGACCAATATGAATCTATGCCCATTTGAAGCTTTTGGCTCAATCGGCCCAATGACGTCCATACCCCAGGCAACAAATGGCCAAGGTGTTGACATGGTATGCAGTTCTGTAGGTGGTGCATGAATCAAATCACCGTGCACCTGACACTGATGACATTGTCGGACGAAACTGAAGCAGTCTTTTTCCATAGTCATCCAGTAATAGCCTGCCCGGAGGATTTTCTTTGCCAAAATATACCCATTCATGTGGGGTCCGCACACTCCTGCGTGCACTTCATACATGATTCTTCCAGCCTCTTCAGCGTCAACACATCTTAACAAGTTGAGATCTGGATTCCTTTTGTACAAGACCTCGCTGCTCAAGAAGAATCCGTTTGCAAGTCGTCTAATGGTTCTCTTTTGGTCTCCACTGGCTTGATCAGGATATTCTTTAGTTTTCAGAAATCTCTTGATATCATGATACCATGGCTGAACATCCGGTTCTACCTCAGCCGTATTGCAGTAACCACGCCTTTCACGGATTTGGATTTCCAACGGGTCAATGTGGAGATTGCCTGGATAAGGCAACATCGAGGCCAAAGTAGGGAGTGCATCGGCCAAATCATTGTGAAAACGAGGAATATACATGAACTCGACTGACTTGAACCGTTTACTAAGATCCTCCACATGTTGCCTGTATGGAATAAGCTTGACATCCCTGGTTTCCCATCCACCCTGATCTTGTCGGATAATCAAATTCGAATCTCCCATGATTAACAATTCTTCGACATCTTTTTCGATTGCCATGTTCATACCCATAATGCAGGCTTCATACTCGGCAGTGTTGTTTGTGCAGAAAAACCAAAGTCGGGCTGTGGCAGGATAATGCTGACCAGTGGGTGAGATCAAGATTGCCCCAATTCCAACATCTTTTGCGTTCACAGCCCCATCGAAGAACATTTTCCAAGCATTGGTGTCTTTTGATGTTATCTCAACTGAGTTTACCTCTTCATCCGGGAAGTAAGTGCTCAAGGGCTGGTATTCATCATCAACGGGGTTTTCAGCCAAATGATCCGCTAAAGCCTGGGCTTTCATTGCCGTGCGGGTGACATAAACTATGTCAAATTCAGTGAGCAGTATCTGCCATTTTGCTAACCTCCCTGTGGGCATCGGCTTTTGGAATATGTACTTTAGAGGATCCAACCTGGTTATGAGGTAAGTGGTGTAGGCTAGCAAGTAGTGCCTCAGCTTTTGAGCAACCCAAGTTAGAGCGTAGCAAGTTCTTTCCAACAAAGTGTATATGGCTTCATAACTTGTAAACTTTTTGCTTAGATAGTAGATTGCATGCTCTCTCTTTTCGGTCACATCGTGTTGCCCGAGGACACAGCCGAAAGAGTTTTCCAAGACTGTCAAATACAAGAACAGAGGCCTCACCGGTTCAGGTGGGACCAATACTGGCGGGCTCGACAGTATTCTTTGATTTTATCAAAGGATTCTTGACACTCATCCATCCATTTGACTGCTGCATCTTTCTTTAACAGCTTGAAGATGGGTTCACATGTGGAAGTCAACTGAGCTATGAATCGGCTAATGTAGTTCAACCTTCCCAGCAGGCTCATAACCTCTTTCTTGGTTCTTGGAGGAGGCAAATCCCGAATAGACTTTATATTTGTTGGGTCTAACTCGATGCCCCTTCGACTGACTATAAATCCCAAGAGTTTGCCAGACGGAACCCCAAATGCACATTTGGCCGGATTTAGCTTCAGATCATATTTTCGCAGCCGCTCAAAGAATTTTCTCAAGTCCCGGACATGGTCGTCCTGGGTCCTGGATTTGATGATCGCATCGTCCACATACACCTCTATCTTGGTGCATCATGTCATGAAAAACGACAGTCATGGCCCTCATATAAGTTGCCCCGACGTTCTTCAGACCAAACGGCATGACCTTGTAACAGTAGGTGCCCCAGGGTGTGGTGAAAGCTGTCTTTTCCGCATCCTCTTCATCCATCAACACCTGGTGATATCCTGCATAGCAATCCACGAAGGACTGTATCTCATGTTTGGCGCAGTTATCAACAAGGATGTGGATGTTCGGCAAAGGGAAATTATCCTTGGGACTTGCTTTGTTCAGATCTCTGTAGTCCACACACACTCATGTTTTCCCGTCTTTCTTTGGCACTGGAACTACATTGGCTAACCATGTGGTGTATCGAACCACTCGGATCACCCCCGCTTTCAACTGTTTTGTGACCTCTTCTTTAATCTTGTCACTGATATCAATTTTGAACTTTCTTTGCTTTTGTTGGACAGGGGGATAATCGGGGTAGGTTGGCAACTTGTGAACCACCAAATCGACACTTAGTCCCGGCATGTCATCGTATGACCAAGCAAACACATCTTTTAATTCAAACAAAAGTTGGATCAATGCGTCTCGGGTTTTTTCATCTGTGTGAATGCTTATCTTGGTTTCTTTGACTTCTTCAGAACTACCCAAATTAACCGGCTCGGTATCATTTAAGTTCGGCTTAGGTTTATTCTCAAATTGTTCCAATTCTCGATTTATTTCCCTAAAAGCCTCTTCTTCATCATATTCAGGTTCTTGGTTCATTATTTCACAATTAGACAGCGTATTTGGATCTGGGCATGAAGTCCGCAAGCATGTCATGTTATTTAAAGCCGCATTATTAGAACTGAAAGAAGAAATAAGAAAAAGTAACAAAAATTAGAAAGAGTAAAGAGAGATGAACGATGAATATTGATTTTATTTCATTGAATTTTGAAGATAACAGGGTTTACATTGGAATTTAAAGACCATATACAGCACCTCAGTGGTGCTCGAGCCTTCTCCTGGCTGAACCATGTGGGTTTCATACAACATCTGCCTCATAGCCCCACAGATTTCTTCAATTTCCTCGGCCGTGAAGGCCTCATCTTCCTCTTCCTCATTGTACTTGGGCTTGACAAATATTCTATAAAGATGTGGAATCGGCTGAGGCAAGACCCAACTGTTATTCTTTCATTTATCTGCCCATTATGTTCAAATTTCACCATCTGGTGGAGAGTGGAAGGTACAGCCCCTGTTGCGTGAATCCAAGGTCTTCCCAAGAGGAAATTATAGGAAGTATGGACCTGAAAGGTCACCTCGAAATCCACCGGACCAATAGTCAGAATTAGATCAATCTCACCTATGGTATCTCTCTTGATGCCATCAAAGGCACGTACACAGACGTTGTTTGGCCTGATTCTCTCAGTACCGATCTCCATTCTTTGTAGAGTTGAGAGAGGGCAAATATCTACTCCAGAACCACCATCCAGTATAACCCTTTTCACATAATACCCCTCGCATTTAACTGTCAGATGAAGGGCTTTGTTGTGGGCGGCCCCTTTCGGGGGCAAATCATTCTTGCTGAAAGAGATTTGATTGACTGCAAAAAACGCTTCGTTGAGGGTTTTGATCAACACCTTCTGATGCTCAGTTGAATTCATTAACAGAGACAACAAAGAGACCTAGTCTGTCGTTTTCATTTTTCGGAAGAACTCTTCTGCTTCTTCAGCACTAACTGGTTTCTTGATCGGGAAGCGTTTCTTCATGGCATTATTCACTTCCTCCAGATTAAAGTATTTCTCAGCTGGTTTAACTTCATTTGTTTTTCCTGTGACCTCTTTTCCCTTGTAAGTTACCACCGCCTTGTTGTAATTCCATGGGACAGCAGTAGGGTCTGTCATGGGCCTCTACGGTACGCGGCCAATAACTACGAGCTCATTCGGCCGGTGAAATTACTGGCCCCCGCACCACATAGGTCCCCTTAGGCACGTACATTTTGGGTCCCTTGTTCAGCTCAAACCTTCTTGGAGGGCTCAATGTCTTATGTTCCTTCTTGTGGCCCCGGGGAACATAAAGAACGGCATCTTTTGAGGGTGCTGCCCCAGTTTTGGTTTGCACTTTCTTTTCTGTATTTTGAGGGGTGGGTTATGAGGTTTTCCACAGCCCTTTTCAGGGTCCAACAGTCATCTATATCATGCCCTTCCGCCCCTGAGTGGTAAGCGGCTGGAATATGACTCACCAATGGGTGTGAAGTTTGCCATCTTGGGTGGTCCCCGGCACGGGCATTGTAGGGGAAGTTGTTCTGTGGAGGTCGGGGATTATACTGAGCTTGGTGAGGAGGTTGATTTCTGGGAAATGGAGCTCGGTTTTGATTGAATTATTGTTGTGGCCTAACTTAGGGTTGGGCATTCATAACTGCGTATGGCTGAGGAACCATATCATAGGCCACGTCCGTTCTTTCAGAGAAATAAGGTCTAGGTGGACGGGGTTTTCTTACACTTGAAGTTGCCATTGCCGCTTCTTCCTTCTTCTTTCGGTTTGCTACACCTCCAGACCCTCCTTTAATTGCTTGGTCGGCAAACGGATTCCCCATCGCAGACATCATATTTTGATAATAATCACCCTCTTGGGCTTGAAGAAAAACACTAACCATCATTGAAGGTTTGACTCTGGCCGCTTGTTCGCGCCATTTGACAGCATACTCTCGGAAACTTTCCAAAGACTTCTTCTTTAGATTTGACTATATTGAAACTGCCTAACAAAGTCCTGATCCAGGTCGTCCCAAATATGCCACCGAGATATATCCTGGTCCATGTACCATTCAGAAGCAATACCGACTATGCTCTCTCCAAAATAAGCCATGAGGAGCTCCTCTTTTCCACCTGCTCCCCACAACTGGTTGCAGTATCTCTTGAGGTGGGCTATGGGATCCCCATGCCCGTCATACTTTTCAAACTTCGGGGTTTTGAAACCCAAGGGTAGATGCACGCGTGGGAACATACACAGGTCAGCGTAGGATATGCTCTTTTGTCCGCTCAAATTAAGGCTTTGCTCCAGGCTCCTCATTTTTCTGGTAATCTCCTCTTGTTCAGGGTTTTTTGTGGTTTTCTCTTGCCCCGTGGTAAACTGGTGCCGAGGTGGCTGAGGGTAAGCATTGGTAGTAAATTGGGTAGGTTCCAGTGGGAAAGATGGTGCTTGAAATATGAAGGAAGATGGGTCGAAGCTAGGCCTGGGTAGAGTGGGTTGTGCCGTAGCTGAACAAGGTGGCGCATTGAATGTATTTGAGGCCGCACCTGACATTAACACCTGGGGGCGAGCCTCAGAAGGTGTTCCAACAAAGTGGGCTGAAATGGTAGGATATCCCAGTGGGGTATTTGGATAACTTATGGGGACATTGGTGGTTCCGCTCAGGGAATCCGGGTATCGCACTTGGTGGTTCTTTACCGTTCGCCCAGGCGTCCCATATTTCCATCATGCGGAGACGCAGAATCCTATTTTCCTCAGCAGTTGCTGATTCTGAAGTTGGGATGGCCGAGATCTGGCTATCCTCGGGGATAGGAACCGTTGGTAGATGACCCTCAAATGACATTTCAACGCTTCCCTTTGACAAGCCAGAGTACCATAAAACCAACCACCTTACTATAGAGCCTGACTGAATACAAACACAACAAACCGGTTAGTGCTCCTCTCTTTTCTTGCTTTGCCCCCCTTTTTTTCGTTTTTCTTTTGGATTTTCTTTGACTCTCTTTTTCTTTCTTTTGGTTTTTCTTTCGGTTTTTCATTAATAAAACTCCTAAACTTTTCTATCACAAAAGACTCTAACATACTCATTTCTTTTGGAATTTTAACAACTACAAACAGACTCAAAACATTAACTGAAGTACAGACTCGATAAATGAAAATCATAAGTACATAAGTGCTTCGACTCCTGGGGCCCGTGGGATATCATTCGGTCTTGCCACGGGCCTCTGTGCAAGATCCCCTTGAAGACGCTCCAGATCACTCATTATTTGGCGAACAAATGTCATAACCGCAGCAAAGAAGGTGGTCCTAGTCATGCCTTCACATTCTTGACGCTGCTCTAACCCTCTCTCGGATGATACCTTTTTCTTGGAGCAAACGCCCGATTTACTGAGTCCGAGCTTCTAGCACCCTGTAATTGTTGTATATCTTCCTCCATCTGGGACATTAGGGCATAACAATGTTCCCTTTCGGCTTTGAAGCTCCTAGCTTGTTTGGCTATCTCATTTTCGAGGGTAGTGAGCTTTCTCTGCCCTATCTNTGTGGTGTATCGAACCACTCGGATCACCCCCGCTTTCAACTGTTTTGTGACCTCTTCTTTAATCTTGTCACTGATATCAATTTTGAACTTTCTTTGCTTTTGTTGGACAGGGGGATAATCGGGGTAGGTTGGCAACTTGTGAACCACCAAATCGACACTTAGTCCCGGCATGTCATCGTATGACCAAGCAAACACATCTTTTAATTCAAACAAAAGTTGGATCAATGCGTCTCGGGTTTTTTCATCTGTGTGAATGCTTATCTTGGTTTCTTTGACTTCTTCAGAACTACCCAAATTAACCGGCTCGGTATCATTTAAGTTCGGCTTAGGTTTATTCTCAAATTGTTCCAATTCTCGATTTATTTCCCTAAAAGCCTCTTCTTCATCATATTCAGGTTCTTGGTTCATTATTTCACAATTAGACAGCGTATTTGGATCTGGGCATGAAGTCCGCAAGCATGTCATGTTATTTAAAGCCGCATTATTAGAACTGAAAGAAGAAATAAGAAAAAGTAACAAAAATTAGAAAGAGTAAAGAGAGATGAACGATGAATATTGATTTTATTTCATTGAATTTTGAAGATAACAGGGTTTACATTGGAATTTAAAGACAGGAAACTAAAAGAAACATCCGAGTTACACCCTGAAATAACTCATGATGTAGAAAAGGTGGCAGGACTGGACTACCGGGATTCCCGCCTGATTGGGAACGGAGTAGCCTTCCAATTTTGCAACTTGGCATTGGGCCCCATATACAGCACCTCAGTGGTGCTCGAGCCTTCTCCTGGCTGAACCATGTGGGTTTCATACAACATCTGCCTCATAGCCCCACAGATTTCTTCAATTTCCTCGGCCGTGAAGGCCTCATCTTCCTCTTCCTCATTGTACTTGGGCTTGACAAATATTCTATAAAGATGTGGAATCGGCTGAGGCAAGACCCAACTGTTATTCTTTCATTTATCTGCCCATTTTTCATCATCTGGCGTGGCTTGGAAACCTACCCCAAAGAACTTCTCGCTAGCAGCCAGAGTGACAGGTTCGGTGATTCCTTGCAATGATGTTCCGAGCCCCTTCCCGGGTTTATAACCATGCCTGATCATTTCCTTGGCAACCATAATTGACGCATTTGAGAGAAAGGGTTGAGGACAAGGGTTTCCTTCTTCATAATGGTCTGCGACCACAACCTCGAAAGCTTGATAGACTATATATTCACTTCCTTCCCTCACTTCAAGACATGGGACTGACGGGTCCCGATAAATCGACTGCTCGTCCTCTCCATGGACTACAATCTCTTGATCCTCATGTTCAAATTTCACCATCTGGTGGAGAGTGGAAGGTACAGCCCCTGTTGCGTGAATCCAAGGTCTTCCCAAGAGGAAATTATAGGAAGTATCCATGTCTAGGACCTGAAAGGTCACCTCGAAATCCACCGGACCAATAGTCAGAATTAGATCAATCTCACCTATGGTATCTCTCTTGATGCCATCAAAGGCACGTACACAGACGTTGTTTGGCCTGATTCTCTCAGTACCGATCTCCATTCTTTGTAGAGTTGAGAGAGGGCAAATATCTACTCCAGAACCACCATCCAGTATAACCCTTTTCACATAATACCCCTCGCATTTAACTGTCAGATGAAGGGCTTTGTTGTGGGCGGCCCCTTTCGGGGGCAAATCATTCTTGCTGAAAGAGATTTGATTGACTGCAAAAAACCTTTCCGCCATCCTCTCCAACTGTTCCAAAGTGGTTTCAATGGGTACATACGCTTCGTTGAGGGTTTTGATCAACACCTTCTGATGCTCAGTTGAATTCATTAACAGAGACAACAAAGAGACCTGAGCAGGGGACTTGCGGAGTTGGTCAATTATCTCGTAGTCTGTCGTTTTCATTTTTCGGAAGAACTCTTCTGCTTCTTCAGCACTAACTGGTTTCTTGATCGGGAAGCGTTTCTTCATGGCATTATTCACTTCCTCCAGATTAAAGTATTTCTCAGCTGGTTTAACTTCATTTGTTTTTCCTGTGACCTCTTTTCCCTTGTAAGTTACCACCGCCTTGTTGTAATTCCATGGGACAGCAGTAGGGTCTGTCATGGGCCTCTACGGTACGCGGCCAATAACTACGAGCTCATTCGGCCTTGGTGAAATTACTGGCCCCCGCACCACATAGGTCCCCTTAGGCACGTACATTTTGGGTCCCTTGTTCAGCTCAAACCTTCTTGGAGGGCTCAATGTCTTATGTTCCTTCTTGTGGCCCCGGGGAACATAAAGAACGGCATCTTTTGAGGGTGCTGCCCCAGTTTTGGTTTGCACTTTCTTTTCTGTATTTTGAGGGGTGGGTTTATTCTTCTTCTCCCCTTCTCCCCCTTGTCTTGTTTTACGGCAGCCTTTGGCTTCTTTTCCACAACGGCTATGGCAATGATGGCTTTTAGAGCTGGGTTAAATTCTTTATCTTCACAAATCATTCTAATAACCGACCCGTTGTTGTGAGCCGGTAATGGATTGTTGGTTACATTAGGAACATCTTCGTCCTTTAGCACTATTCGCTTTTGTTCTATGAGGTTTTCCACAGCCCTTTTCAGGGTCCAACAGTCATCTATATCATGCCCTTCCGCCCCTGAGTGGTAAGCACATCGAGTACCGGCTCTGTAAGCGGGCGACGCTGGGTTCTGCCTGGCTTGGGGTACAGGCTGCAACAAACCCATCTGAACAAGTTTGGGGAAAAGGCTGGAATATGACTCACCAATGGGTGTGAAGTTTGCCATCTTGGGTGGTCCCCGGCACGGGCATTGTAGGGGAAGTTGTTCTGTGGAGGTCGGGGATTATACTGAGCTTGGTGAGGAGGTTGATTTCTGGGAAATGGAGCTCGGTTTTGATTGAATTATTGTTGTGGCCTAACTTAGGGTTGGGCATTCATAACTGCGTATGGCTGAGGAACCATATCATAGGCCACGTCCTGACGGGGATAGTAATGTTGTGGGGTTCTTTCAGAGAAATAAGGTCTAGGTGGACGGGGTTTTCTTACACTTGAAGTTGCCATTGCCGCTTCTTCCTTCTTCTTTCGGTTTGCTACACCTCCAGACCCTCCTTTAATTGCTTGGGAGGTAGCCCTTATGGCAGATTGACTCAAGATTCGCCCTGTTTTTAAACCATTCTCGACCATTTCACCAATTTTGATGGCCTCGGCAAACGGATTCCCCATCGCAGACATCATATTTTGATAATAATCACCCTCTTGGGCTTGAAGAAAAACACTAACCATCTCTGTTTTGTCCATTGAAGGTTTGACTCTGGCCGCTTGTTCGCGCCATTTGACAGCATACTCTCGGAAACTTTCCAAAGACTTCTTCTTTAGATTTGACAATGAATTCCTGTCAGGGGCAATGTCGATGTTATATTGAAACTGCCTAACAAAGTCCTGATCCAGGTCGTCCCAAATATGCCACCGAGATATATCCTGGTCCATGTACCATTCAGAAGCAATACCGACTATGCTCTCTCCAAAATAAGCCATGAGGAGCTCCTCTTTTCCACCTGCTCCCCACAACTGGTTGCAGTATCTCTTGAGGTGGGCTATGGGATCCCCATGCCCGTCATACTTTTCAAACTTCGGGGTTTTGAAACCCAAGGGTAGATGCACGCGTGGGAACATACACAGGTCAGCGTAGGATATGCTCTTTTGTCCGCTCAAACCCTTTATGTTTTTAAGGCTTTGCTCCAGGCTCCTCATTTTTCTGGTAATCTCCTCTTGTTCAGGGTTTTTTGTGGTTTTCTCTTGCCCCGTGGTAAACTGGTGCCGAGGTGGCTGAGGGTAAGCATTGGTAGTAAATTGGGTAGGTTCCAGTGGGAAAGATGGTGCTTGAAATATGAAGGAAGATGGGTCGAAGCTAGGCCTGGGTAGAGTGGGTTGTGCCGTAGCTGAACAAGGTGGCGCATTGAATGTATTTGAGGCCGCACCTGACATTAACACCTGGGGGCGAGCCTCAGAAGGTGTTCCAACAAAGTGGGCTGAAATGGTAGGATATCCCAGTGGGGTATTTGGATAACTTATGGGGACATTGGTGGTTCCGCTCGCCCTGGGAAGTAGCTCAGGGAATCCGGGTATCGCACTTGGTGGTTCTTTACCGTTCGCCCAGGCGTCCCATATTTCCATCATGCGGAGACGCAGAATCCTATTTTCCTCAGCAGTTGCTGATTCTGAAGTTGGGATGGCCGAGATCTGGCTATCCTCGGGGATAGGAACCGTTGGTAGATGACCCTCAAATGACATTTCAACGCTTCCCTTTGACCTTGTGAAGTAAGGATGTGAAGCCAGAGTACCATAAAACCAACCACCTTACTATAGAGCCTGACTGAATACAAACACAACAAACCGGTTAGTGCGAGACAATTAACACATAGGGAATCACACATTGGGGTGTGATGCACCTATACAGTTAAATGTGTTTCTACATGTTTTGCAATGGTTGCGTGTTTCATCCCAGTTTTCGTTTATTTCTCCACTTTGGCTCTTTAATGCTTCTCCTCTTATTCCTATTTCCTCTCTTTTCTTGCTTTGCCCCCCTTTTTTTCGTTTTTCTTTTGGATTTTCTTTGACTCTCTTTTTCTTTCTTTTGGTTTTTCTTTCGGTTCTTTCCTTCCACATCCCTCTTTTATTTGAGTTATTTACAAAATCATGACCGGATCCGATGATGATTGCCTACGTATCACGACGCCACGTGAATCAGATCATCACGTAGTTCAAGAAAAATAAATACGAAAAATAAGGAAACAATTTGTTGGGAATTTTCAATTTTCATTAATAAAACTCCTAAACTTTTCTATCACAAAAGACTCTAACATACTCATTTCTTTTGGAATTTTAACAACTACAAACAGACTCAAAACATTAACTGAAGTACAGACTCGATAAATGAAAATCATAAGTACATAAGTGCTTCGACTCCTGGGGCCCGTGGGATATCATTCGGTCTTGCCACGGGCCTCTGTGCAAGATCCCCTTGAAGACGCTCCAGATCACTCATTATTTGGCGAACAAATGTCATAACCGCAGCAAAGAAGGTGGTCCTAGTCATGCCTTCACATTCTTGACGCTTCACGACGATGTAGTCGGCAATTGCTCTAACCCTCTCTCGGATGATACCTTTTTCTTGGAGCAAACGCCCGATTTACTGAGTCCGAGCTTCTAGCACCTGAGTGTCATGATGATTTTGACTCTGTAATTGTTGTATATCTTCCTCCATCTGGGACATTAGGGCATAACAATGTTCCCTTTCGGCTTTGAAGCTCCTAGCTTGTTTGGCTATCTCATTTTCGAGGGTAGTGAGCTTTCTCTTCAAATCAATGACCGTTCCCTCGTATTTTCTTTTCAACTGCCGCACATACTCCGCCCGTCCTTCTGCATTCTTTGTTAGCTGTGCTCGGGCTTTTGCTAGACTAGCCTCAGATTTTTCTAAGTCATCTTGACACTCAATTACTTTCTTTCTGAGACCACTTATAAGCCTTTCATCTGCTCGGCTTCTTTCTTGATTTTTAGCAGCTATTTTCATCTTTTGGATCTGAGCTTTGAGGGCTTTGTTTTCCTGAATCAGATTCTTCTTTTCCCCTTCATTGGCAGCAGCTTGGACACTATTGTGAAATTTGAGGTCCCTGATTTGTCCCTCCAATTTACTTATCCTGGCCCTATGGCTTGCCTCTTTCGTCAACCAGTCCCATTGCTCCCGCGAGTCGTCAGTGACTTGCTGGACGTGGGGTCTTTTAGCAGGCCTTTCGGGCTCTCGAGGGATTTGAAACCTTTTACGGAACCAGGTCATGTAATTAGGTCTACCTCACCTTTAGATAGATCCCGCACCAGAGTTTTAGGCTCTAGAAATCTGCACTCATTCCAAATTTGACGAATTTTCCCTTCTGGGAATTTAGCTTTTGGACCCAATTCTATGACTTGTCGGCTGAGATCTTCATCATGTGGGATAGTTCGAAACCTGCCCAGTTGGGGCAACACCCTGTGAAGAGCATATGGCTGGATGCTCCGGATACCCATTAGGAGAAGATAGCACACCTCGGCTGACATGTTGATGACTTCAGTGACAGGGAGACATCCGAAAGTCCACTCAATTTTGTCCGAAGTTAAAGAACTCAAGTGCGCATACCAAGCCTCTGTACCTTTTGGGAATTCAACATCCGCCACTCGGTTTTCATACTCTTTGATGCAATTCAGACCAGTCATGCCGTAGTTCATATACCCGACACGGTGACAAAGATGTTCTTGTATCCACAGTTGTAGTAGCAGGTTACAACCCTAGAAGAATCTTCCCCCTTCTCGGCAGATGGTTAAGGCTCGGTAAATCTCAGCTAAGATCATTGGAACAAGGGTGCCATTAGCTTTCTTAATCATGACATCAACCATTCCCACAAGACCCAATTCTATATTTCCATCTTTTCTTGGACAGATTATGACACCCAAGAATGCTACTATAAAGGCCAAGCCCCGCCGTGCCTCCCATTTATCCTTATTTCCTGCATGGGTCAGACCAGTATTTGGTGCTTCAAAACCGTGGGGATTGCCATAGCGATGGTACAAGAACTGGAAAGTGCAAAACCCTTCAGATAAATTCCCATCCCGAACCTCCCGACTAATACTCAACATATCTAGAAACTTGTGGGGAGATACCGTTCTTGGTGACACCGGGTACCAACTTCTAAGATTTCCGCTAAGCCCGGCATAGCCCGCAATTTCCTCTAGCATGGGGGTGAGCTCAAAATCAGAGAAGCGAAACACATTGTGAGTCGGGTCCCAGAAAGGTATTAAGGCCTCAATCACATCTAATCTTGGCTTGATTTTCAGAAGTCCCACGAGACCACCCAAAACTTTTACCACAGTCCCTCTGTTGCATTTTCCTAAATCGTTCCACCACATATGGAGCTGTAAGGGGATTTCCTCAAGAGCTGCGAAGGGTTCATTTTCATTTGTGCTCATCCTGCACATTTATTAGGGTGATTTAGTTAAAGGATCATGATTCATTTGACTCAAGAAAAGTTATCACCATTTTTTTTCAAAAATTTTCATTTCAAAAATAAAAATTCGGCTTTGCAAATACGGCCCTTCAGCACTTCGGGGGAGAAGATTGTAGGGCTGTGTTTGCTAAGCGGCCAAAACTTTAAAAAAGAGACCATAGGTGGCTGTTCTTGCAAAAGCAGCCTTCCGGCGCCCTTTTGGGACATTCGGCTATTTTAGACAAGAATGGCATCACCTTACTTATTTATGACAAAACAATAACTTTTTTTTATCTTTTTGGGCTATTTTTGCAAAAAATGAAGTTGGACCCGATGGGGGTTGCCTACGTATCCCACATCCGGTGAGAATCAAACTGGCGTAGTTCGGGCAGATTTGACATAATAAAAACAACACTAACAAAATTTTCTTCTTTTCGTTTTTTTTTTTCAAAATTTCGGTAGAGTTTCGGTACCTTTTGGACATTAGTTTTTTCAAAAACGGGTAACTATCTCTCTATCCCTCAAATTGATTTTTCTCTTTCCCAACTTTCTCCTTTACTCATAAGCCGGTCAACATGCAATCCGAAGCAAATAAATGCACAAGTAGCAAGTAGAATGCATCAGGATGGTCTTTTCCTTTCGGGTACACCTGCCCTAGACAGACCCAACCCCTGTGTTGAGTCTCCAAAGTCAAATGCACGTGATGCAAACAAACGTTCCTACTGGGGATCCGGTATGAGGTTTTGTTATACTAGGTTTAAAACCTGGGTGTATTGTTCTAGACCT